GATTGAAATATCTAAGTCTTAGAAACAGCATCATTGATAGTACATCCACTTACATTGATGACTCCTTTAAGGATCCACTGATAGGTTATTGTATGACTATATATATATATCCTACATCAAAGATCCATTTTCTGATAGAAGAAAATACCCACTCTACTAATTGAGACTGGATTCCTGATGTAACAGCAATCTTTGCCTTCAAACAAGGAATGAGGCAGGTGACAGGTGTATGAGTTTGCAGCTGGAGCCCTTCTCATGCCCTCATAATTTAAAGTACCCAAAGTGTTCATTTCAGTGACACTACTTGGCAGTTTGTTCCACTCACACTCAGCTTGCAAGTATAGTGTGATGATTCATTAGCAAATTGGGCGAGGCAGGCCAATAGATACTGTATGCATTATACATGGAACAACTCTCATGTATAATATATAAAAATAGCAATACAGTGGACCCCCGCATAGCGACCTTAATCCGTGCAAGAGGGCTGGCTGTTATGCGAAATGTTCGTTATGTGAATGAATTTTCCCCATAAGAAATAATGGAAATAAAATTAATCCGTGCAAGACACCCAAAAGTATGAAAAAAAATTTTTTTTACCACAAAAAAATGTTAATTTTAGTACACACAAACTGAAAAAGGCATGCACATTACATGACACTTACTTTTATTGAAGATCTGGTGATGATTGATGGGATGGGAGGAGGGGAGAGAGAGTGTTAGTGTTTAGAAGGGGAATCCCCTTCATTAAGACTTGAGAGAGCAAGTCCTTTTCTGGGGTTACTTCCCTTCTTCTTTTAATGCCACTAGGACCAGCTTCAGAGTCACTGGACTTCTTTTGCACAACATATCTGTCCATAGTGGCCTGTACCTCTCGTTCCTTTATGATTTGTCTAAAGTGGTTCACAACACTGTCATTGTAACAGTCACCAGCACGGCTTGCAATAGCTGTGTGAGGGTGATTTTCATCAAAAAAGGTTTGCACTTCAAGCCATTTTGCACACATTTCCTTAATCTTTGAAGTAGGCAATTCCTTCAATTTCTCTCTCCCCTCCTTTGAACCAGTTTCCCCAGGTCTGGCCTCTTGCTCTTGAAGTTGATCTATCAGCTCATCAGTGGTTAGTTCTTCATTGTCCTCCTCCACCAACTCTTCCACATCCTCCCCACTAACCTCCAACCCCAAGGACTTCCCCAATGCCACAATTGATTCTCAACTGTATACTCCTCTCAGGGTTAGCCTCAAACCCTTCAAAATCCCTTTTGTCTACACATTCTGGCCACAGTTTCTTCCAAGCAGAGTTCAAGGTTCTCTTAGTCACTCCCTCCCAAGCCTTACCTATAAGGTTTACACAATTGAGGATATTAAAGTGATCCTTCCAAAACTCTTTTAGAGTCAATCGAGTGTCTGTGGTCACTTCAAAGCACTTTTGAAACAGAGCTTTTGTGTACAGTTTCTTGAAGTTGGAAATGACCTGCTGGTCCAGGGCTGCAGGAGAGGAGTGGTATTAGGAGGCAAAAACTTCACCTTAATGAAGCTCATGTCCCCATAAAGTCGCTCTGCCACGTCTGTAGGATGACCAGGGGCATTGTCTAACACCAGGAGGCACTTAAGGTCTAATTTCTTTTCAGTTAGGTAATCTTTCACATTGGGGGCAAATGCATGGTGTAACCAGTTATAGAAAAATTCCCTAGTGACCCATGCCTTACTGTTTTCCCTCCACAGCACACACAAATTATCCTTGAGGGCATTCTTTTGCCTGAACGCTCTGGGAGTTTCAGAGTGATACACTAATAAAGGCTTTTAAATTTGCAATCACCACTAGCATTGGCACACATCAACAAAGAAGCCTGTCTTTCATGGGGTAGTCCTGGGAGTGTTTTCCTCCTGAGTAATGAGGTCCCCGCTTGGCATTTTTTTTCCAAACAGGCCTGTTTTATCAAATTAAACACTTGTTCGGGTTTTATCCTTTAGTTTTTTAGTTTTCCTTTAATTCATGCACATATTTTTCAGCCCCTTTGTGGTCCGAACTGGCAGCCTCCCATGCCGTATCACATATGAGCCACTACGCTTCTAAAAACTCTTTTAAACCCAAACCTTTTCTGGGCCTTAAATTCCTCCATCATCACTAGTTGAGGCCTTTTTTTTAATTAAATCCTCATGCAATTCCTGCCTTTTCCAATGATCCCCTTTAGAGCCACTCCTGCTAGCTGTTTTTCATTACCACCACCCAAAAAGAGTTTAAATCTTCCATCACTTGCTCATTTTTCGAAAACACAGTTAAAAACCTTTTGGGAAGAACACTTCCCTTTATTGCCCTTTTCTTGCCCACAAAAGAAAAGTGGTTGATTTTGGGGTTTTTTGTACAACCTGACCAGGTCGGTACGCCCCTCCACTTTAACTTTTCAAAGATTCCTTTTTCATTTAAAGAAATTTTAACCCCTTTTTGCGTAGGTTGGAACAGAAGCTTTCTTGGGGCCCATGGGCACTTATTTTCAAAACCGCACCCAAAACACTGTAATAAAACGAAATTCCCTTGTAGCTTTAATGTTACCGCGGAGGCTGGCGGTAAACAATGGCAAGGGGGCACATGTGAGGCGGCTGAGGGGCAATTGGAGGTCTCGGACGAAGGGCCCCTGAGCGGTTTTTTTCCACTTGCGGGGCAAAATTTTAGCGACAAGCGTCCGCTATGGATTGTCCCTTTTGCAAGGCGTCCCTTATGCGGGGGTCCATGACAGCCCCTCCTACTTGAACATACAGGGACAAAATCAATTTTTCCAGAAACCTTTTGGTTTTTTTTAAAGCCTTTTTGGATTACTGCTTTTCCGTCTTTAGAGAGCGCATTATTCTTTGGTCTTGGGGCTGGATAAGTGACATACAGTTTGTTGGTGAATACACTGTTGCAGGAATTTCAAGTTCCTGCTCGTAGATTTGTATGGTTCCAGACCATCAGTGTTCAGAAAACCGATGTTGTACCTGTACTCGTTTACCGATGACTCGAACTTAAAACAGGCTCTCTGACCAATATGCATACCTAAATAATGTACGTATATTAGAGCTGATATCCTCTATTCTGTTTATTACAATATACATACAGTACACTACTGTATAAACATTTAAAATTATTATTATTATTATCACACTGGCCGATTCCCACCAAGGCAGGGTCTTGCCAGAAGGGTGCTTTACACTAGTTTTTAAACTGCAACATTAACACCCCTCCTTCAGAGTGCAGGCACTGTACTTCCCATCTCCAGGACTCAAGTCCGGCCTGCCGGTTTCCCTGAACCCCTTCATAAATGTTACTTTGCTCACACTCCAACAGCACGTCAAGTATTAAAAACCATTTGTCTCCATTCACTCCTATCAAACATGCTCACACATGCCTGCTGGAAGTCCAAGCCCCTCGCACACAAAACCTCCTTTACCCCCTCCCTCCAACCTTTCCTAGGCCGACCCTTACCCCACCTTCCTTCCACTACAGACTGATACACTCTTGAAGTCACTCCGTTTCGCTCCACTCTCTCTACATGTCCGAACCACCTCAACAACCCTTCCTCAGCCCTCTGGACAACAGTTTTGGTAATCCCGCACCTCCTCCTAACTTCCAAACTACGAATTCTCTGCATTATATTCACACCACACATTGCCCTCAGACATGACATCTCCACTGCCTCCAGCCTTCTCCTTCATCACCCATGCTTCACACCCATATAAGAGCATTGGTAAAACTATACTCTCATACATTCCCCTCTTTGCCTCCAAGGGCAAAGTTCTTTGTCTCCACAGACTTCTAAGTGCACCACTCACCCTTTTTCCCCTCATCAATTCTATGATTCACCTCATCTTTCATAGACCCATCTGCTGACATGTCCACTCCCAAATATCTGAATACATTCACCTCCTCCATACTCTCTCCCTCCAATCTGATATCCAATCTTTCATCACCTAATCTTTTTGTTATCCTCATAACCTTACTCTTTCCTATATTCACTTTTAATTTTCTTCTTTTGCACACCCTACCAAATTCATCCACCAATCTCTGCAACTTCTCTTCAGAATTCCCAAGAGCACAGTGTCATCAGCAAAGAGCAACTGTGACAACTCCCACTAAAAATGTTATAAATGGTGTAAAGGTGACATTAAAACAATATCAAAGATGGATGACACAAACTCACTACCATTATAATATCCTCCTTGCTTAGCGATGAATTCATTTACCGACGTGGTCTTAGGAATGGAACTCCGTCGTTAAGGGAGGAGAGGCTGTAGTAATATAGGATAAATTTGCATGACCATGGTAATAATAATATAATCCAAGCACTAAACCTGAATTATAATTGTAAAGGGAATCTGTTAAGACGAGATTGTAAATACAGTAGTCCCCCCATATCCACGGGGGATACTTTCCAACACCACTCATGGATGCCTGAAACCATGGATAGTAGCGAACCTTATACATATATGCAAGTCATTTTTCGTTTACATACATACATACCTATGATATAGCTTAAATGATAAATTACACACGTCAAGAATTAGCACTTGTTTTTACTGATGGGAAGCACTTCACGGCTTCTCTTACACTTTAAAGAGCTGCCAGCATGACTTACTTTTGCACTTTGGGGCCATTATTAAGCAAAATTGGAGATTATTTTTGGGCCATGAATACCTGAAACAGCCAAAACCGAGTCCACGGATACAGGGGTTCTACTGCAATTAATCCTTTAACTGTCCAATCTGATCTATGTTCACATGCGTAGTGCTCCAAAAGTAGATCTACGTTTTTTTTACATATTTTCAAATATAACAAAAAAAAAAAAAGTAGATCAAAGTTTATTTTACACGTTTTCAAATTTAAAAAAAAGAAGAGATCTACTTTTTTTACATACTGTACTTTCAAATGTTGAAAAAACATAGCTCTACGTTTGGACAGTTTAGGGGTTAAGATCGTTTAAATGTACAATGCTCAAGTACATTCAAAGATATTTCCTCTCCATGGCAGGGTTTTGGTGCGAGATGCTTGGTGTTGGTGACTTCTACTATGAGTTGGGCGTGCAGATTGTGGAACTGTGTGTTGCCACCAGTCACCGGAATGGGGGCGTCATCTCGCTGGAAGAGGCACTTAGGAGGCTTAATCACAGGAGGAGACAAGACAACCAGATTAGCACGTAAGTCTTACACTTACACTTTCATTTCTTATTTCTTCATATTCTTACCTGCTCTGGTTTATTTTATTAATGAAAAGCAAGTGCTTTGTAAAAGCCTTTTATTACAATAGATGCATTCTAAATAAATCTGTTGTAAAACAACATTGCACATGTGTATAAAGCACAGTCATAAATCATTTGCAAAGAAAACTAAAGTGTATTTAATAAATCCATGTCTTCTCACACTTTACAAGAAATTTCACATGTCATTATTCAAAACACAAAAGCTCACTTAAAAATGGAAAGGAAGGAGCTTCAACTCTTCTGTGGTGATAACTTGGTACTGCAACTTCTGAGCAGCTTCAAGCTAAATATACTTGTGTATTTTAGGATATTAGGCTCTTTTGTCTCTCTCAGAGGTTTGAATTAGTTTTGGGCTGTGTATCTCTTATTGAAAAATTTATTAGTTTCCATAATATTTAGCTGAATTATCAACTTATGCCAAACTCTGCATTATTCCAATCATGTGCACTGAGGCACAGGGGACTGGAGTCATGAAAAACAAGAATACCTTTCTTGGATCAAGCAGTGACCAAGCACAAACATCTATTTATTTATTTACATTATGGGGAATGCTAAATCTGTAGGAGTCATACAGCATCTAGTGGCATGGGAGGCAATCAGACTTGGATAAAGAGCCTTCCATTGGCATTAAAGCACCTCCTTTGAAGGGTTCCCATTGTAAAGACTCAAATGAGGGCAACATTTTTTTGTTTTTTTAGTGTAAGTGGATTTCTTAGTAGCATTAATTCATTGTAAAATAGCCAGTTTATGTCAAACTAATCATCTTCCTCTTAGCCTTCGCATCACAGCAGTTCTTTTTACAATAAATAATAATGCTCCTTTGGAACTACGTTGACCGGGATTAAACTTAATATTGTTACAGCAAGTCAAAAAATGACTTGCCACTAGGTATGTCATGGTTTAAACGAACAACACAGACTAGAAAGCAAGTGTACCTCACCTCCCTAGAATAAGTCTAACTGGCATGTATTCATCTGTTCATCCTGAGAGTACATTGGCCCACCTTTGGTGAATGCAGTAAAGTTTGCTAATATATTTAATAGTCATGTATTGGAAACCCTACTCATACAGTATTTTAACTGATGTGTTCATGAAATAATATGTTACTCTTTGCAGTGATGATTTAGTGAGAGCAGTAAAAAAATTACGTGTACTTGGGTCAGGCATGGAGGTGGTTGCTACAGGATCCTCTCAGTTCATATACTCTATTCCTGGTGAACTTTCAATGGACCATACCACTCTCCTACAGCATGTATGTAATATTTGTGCTTGTTTATATCGCCTTCTTACCCTTCATTTTGGTTCTCGTATATTAATACAGAAATATTAATGCAGTGGACCCTCGACCAACGGCTTTAATCCTTTTCAGAGAGCTAGCCTTTAGTCGAATTAGCCGTTAGTCGAATTAATTTTCCCCATAAGAAATAATGGAAATCCAGTTAATCCATTCCAGACATTTCCCTACACAGAAAACAATGAGACATGCCCAATACATACATAAATAAATACTAAAATGACACTTACCTTTATTGAAGAGTATTGTTGAGTAATGAGACTGTTTTTCTTGAACACTGGGATTTTCAGAGTGATACATGAGTAAAGGCTTCACTTTGCAATCCCCACTAGCATTACAACAAAACATGAGAGTTAGCCTGTCTTTCATAGGCTTGTGTCCTGGAAGTGCCTTTTCCTCCTGAGTAATGAGTAATGTAGGTCCTGTTTGGCATTTTCTTCCAGAACAGGCCTGTTTCGTTACAATTAAACACTTGTTGGGGTTGGAATTTTTCAGCTTCACCATGCCTTATCACACTGTGTATGCCACTACGATTCTTAAATCTCTCAGACCAATCTTTGCTGGCCTTAAATTCACCAATATGAGCACTAGTTCCAGGCATTTTTTCCTGTTCACCTGGGTGTTAGTCGACTGGTGTGGGTCGTATCCTGGGGGATAAGATTAAGGACCCCAATGGAAATAAGTTAGACAGTCCTTGATGACACACTGACTTTCTTGGGTTATCCTGGGTGGCTAACCCTCTGGGGTTAATTGTGTCTCGGTATTCTTGATCAGCAACACCAACACCAGTCTCTACACATCTTCAAGTAGTACAGCTGACTGTGGTGCAGCAACAGTTGACCGTGGTACGATAGTATTTTGATAGTATTTCTCACCCTTTTTACCAAAGGGTTAGGACTAGAAGCTTTCCTGGGGCCCATGGTGGCTTATTTAGTGGTTACAAGCACTAAAACACTGGAATAATACAAAATATCTTGCAGGTACACATGGAATCGGCCGCAATGGCTTGTAAACATTGGCACACTGAGTCTTGGAGTGGCTGGGCCCGCTCAGGCTGCGCTCTGGCCGCATGGACACGTTCGGGACGAAAGCCGTTACATGAGTTTTTCACAGTTGGTAGAGCCATTTTTTATGCCATAGAGCGCCATTAGATGAATTTGCCGTTGGTCAGGGCTCCACTGTACATGTACCATAAGGTTTTATTAGTTTCCAGTAATAGAGTGATTGTGAAAGTGTTTCTTCTTTTTCAGGTTACCCTACCTCAGTGGGAGACAACCAGGGTGTTAAAAAAAACACTGCTTTTATACAAGTTTATATAATAATTAATCATGAAGCAGTGTATGTATATACACAGTTTACTTTAATCTTTATTTTAAGTATTAAAGTATCCGTGCTGGTTCATAGATGATGTTCAGACCTAATGAATTTTTGTGCAGCAACAGGCTTTTAAAATAATAAACCATTGTCAGAAGTCTTGAAAGTTATATTGTTAAACAGGTATTGATAATCCTTTATTAACTTTACAATAGTTTTGAAATTGAATTTTCACTGCAGTTGTTGTGGTTATGCTTAACATTGCCACATTTCTTCATTGTATTAACCCTTAACCCGTAAACGGTCCAAACATATATATACGTTTTTACCGCTAGCGCCCCAAACGTATACACTACACGCTTTATGTGTCATACATTTAACATTGCCACGATAAGCCTGAGTTGCCTAGACATGAGAGAATGGGTGTGCGCACTCAATGTGTGTCATATTAAAATAATTGGGGATGCCTGGGTACCATATGCTCTTTTTTCCTATTAAAAACAAACTATTTTTTTTTTCTCTCAAAAAATTTGGGGCACTTTGGTAGATAACGTATATATACATTTGGACCATTTACGGGTTAAACTGTCCAAACAGATCTATGTTCACATGCATAGTGCTCCAAAAGTAGATCTAAGTTTTTTTTTTACATATTTTCAAATATAAAAAAAAACGTAGATACTTTCAAATGTTGAAAAAACGTAGATCTACGTTTGGACAGTTTAACCCTTTCAGGGTCGACAGGCCCTCTAAGAGACTTGTTCTCAGGGTCACCCAAATTTCAAAAAAAAAAAAAGTTTTTCTTATGAAAAGATAGAGAATCTTTTCCCAATCATAATGACACCAAAAGTATGAAATTTGATGGAAAACTTACAGAATTATGCTCTCGCGAAGTTAGCGGTCTTGACGATGTTATGCATCGGCAATTTTGCCCAATTTGAGGCCTATTTTCAGCCAATTCCAGTGTACTTGTCGACAAAAATCATAACTATTTTGCCAGAACTCCATTTTTTCTATCGAATGAGTACAAGAAAGCACCCATTTACCAATTTCAACTATCCAATACAGTGGTCAGAATTTAGCAATTTTGCCAATTTCACACAAATTTCAAAAGATGCCAATATCCAAATAGGGTCCAGAATAAACAAGACATTCCTGGCACTAAAATAACATTTCCTCTGTTCATTAGTCACATCCCCATGCCCCTCTTACATTCTTTTGCTTTCCACTTTGAATTTTTATACTCACAAAAAAATAGAAGATTTACTGTTATGCCGACCACTGCATTGGTGTAGAAATGATATAAATAAAATCAGCGCACTTGTGAAAGAATATTAGACTCGCCAGTTGACGTGTATTGGACGCATAGCATTTGTTTACTTTTGAACTTCGGTAAAAATCGAACATTTCTGCTACTTTGAGCTCAATTTCAAGGTACTTTTCTTTGTAAAACCAGTCAAAATCATCTCAATTTCTGTAATATGTCTTCCATTCTATAAAATGAGACCAGGAAAACTAGAATACAACAATAAATACCATACGAAAATACAGTGCAAAGTCGCTGTTTTAATCCAAAAACACTGTCAAAGTTTTTTTTTTCTCATTATGCACTGTGTGCTGCAGGATTTTTTTTATACAGCGCACACTGACCATATAGACCCATTCTTTCAAATGTAGGCCTACCAGCTTTCTCTCACTAGATTTGAGGGCACTAGAATTTAGGCGTACTAGTACATCAAAAACCCTGGTGCGTAAGCCGTACTAGTACAGCCGAAACCCTGGAAGGGTTAAGGGTTAATTGTCTTTCATGCCATTGTGGTTACCCCAATTCTTTTGCATTATTTTTCTCTGTAATACAAGTACAGTGGTCCCTCGCTTTTCGTAGTTCTCGGCAATCGTAAATTTCGCCAATCATAGGGGTATTTTCGTATAAACATGGACTCACTTTTCATAGGTTGACTCGCGAATAGTAGTTCGTCTGGGACGCATACGCACGGTGTGAGCTGGGGCGGCATCCCTACCCAGCCAGTCTGGTATTGTTTACCAGTGAGTGAAGGTCCCCTCACGTGCTCCTACGAAATATTTCATAATATTCCACTCATTTTAGTGCTTGCAATTACTAAATAAGCTACCATGGCTCCAAAGAAAGCTTCTAGTGCCAAGCCTGTGGTAAAGAAGGTGAGAAATATGTACAGTGACAAAGTCTTGGGCCATTTTCGGGAAGTGTTAAAGAGACGCCAGAAACAGAGCTCTCTCCACAGTTACTTTGCGAGACAGGACTAGAGTGACTCTCAAGGTGGTCCTAGTGGCATTAAGAAACAGAGAAGAGAAGCAACCCCAGAGAAGCAATTGGTACCTGAGGTGTTGCTGGAAGGGGATTCCCCTTCCAAACTGTAAACAGTCCAATCTCTCTCCTCCTCCAGTCTCCCATACACTAAGAAGAATCTCCAATAAAGGTAAGTGCTATGCTGTTAATGTTTCATTCATCATTTCCCATTGTATTGTTTATGTACTATATGTATATTTCATGTAAAAAATTTTTTTGTTTTAATACTTCTGGGTGTCAGGAACGGATTAATTGTATTTACATTATTTCTTATGGGGCAAATCGTAAATTTCGTTTGTAGTAACGGCTCCAGGAACGGATTAATTACGAAAAACGAGGGACCACTGTACTTAAGAAACACTACTAAGGACTGTATATTTATCTGCCTGTAATATGCTATGAACTGATGTATAATTTACTTTAAAGGAAAAAATTACTTTAGTTCATAAATAGAACTTAACTTTATTCTCTGATACACAGGCAGAAAACGTTGGACACATGACTGTCTCCTCTGCAGCATCAAATTTGGGCTGGACACAGGAACGTGTTGGACGTACAGTGGATCACCTACTAAGAATAGGTGTTGCTTGGCGGGATGACCAGGATCGTCCACCCACTTACTGGTTTCCTGCATTTTTTCAGCAGTGCACAACAGCTGAATAACGTGTATTTATAGAGCAGATTACATAATGATCCCTGAATGTATTCGCATGTTAGCATGTTGTCAGTTTCATTAATTAAGGGACAAAGTATATCATCTCCTTATTTCATATATCTTTTTCATGCTTCCTCTACTGAAGACTTTTCTTTCCCAAGGGGGTAGCCTTATTTAGATTCTTATCCAGAAATAACAGCTGCTTTTAAGTGTTATAGATTTTTCAAGATAAAACTATGCCTAAAATCTCACATGCCAGTCTGAAACAGTTATCTCCTTTACTCTAAAGAGCAAATGTGGGAAGAATCAATGAAGAGTGCCTTGACTGATTAAATGGGGAAAACAATGCAAAAGAAAGTCATTCCAATGCCAGCTTGAGTGCACAGTAATATTTCATGTACAATACAAACCTACATTCTTGTCATTACACACCGGGTATATATAATACGATAATTAATAGAAACAATCAATTGAGTCACTACATATAGCATAGTGTCCATGTTCATGGTGCTCATATGCCTCTGGCATTTTTAATAATCATATGATGCCTTATATATATAGTTCCTCATTATTATTACATTCACTGAGGGGGAAGGGAGTGTTAAACCCACAGGGGTCAAACAGCACCTGGGGAAATGGAAGGTATTCAGGCTTGATTCAAAAAATTGAAGTATTGATTCAGTGCTTTAGATCAAGATCCTACGGGTTTAGCTCTCCCCATAATAATAATTTAGATCAAAAGCCCCTCACCAGCATCAAGGAACCTCCCTTGAGGAGATCGTTCAACAGCATCGTCTTACTTAGCATAAGAGTACAATATTCATGTCTTATCTTAATGGTAAAACATATTTCAAGAAGATAACCAATTTTAGATGTTAATGGCAGTTTTAACTCTGACTCTTGATTTTGCCCTTGTTGTCCTGCATTTTAGCTAGTAATCCTTGCCATATCTTTTAAATGTCTTAAGATCCATGAATTAAAAAATCTATTGTCTTGGTAGCTACTAAAAGGAAATCAGGGTAAGGCTGTAATTAAACTATCAATTTTTTTCTTAGAGTAATAGAATTTAGGACTTCAAAAAATGGTATTTAATGGTTTTATAAATGAATCTGCCTACCTTCCTTGAGGAGGCCAGTTATTAAGCACCAAATCTCTATTAGTTAAGAATAAATATTATAAAGATTAAAACAGATAACATATGTACTAAGTTACTGTATTTTCTAGCATATAAGGCATATCCCAATTTTGGCAGGCAAAATAGATACAGTACTTAATGGTGGAAATCCAAAGCTGACTGAATATTTGTATGTGGCAAAGTCTACCATTAATATTGCATGAAGCAATGAAGATTAATATATTAAATGAGGAGTTATTAAAAATACTGAAGGAACTGATATTAAAACCAGACAAGAGAATAATCATTATAGCTGGGAATTTTGATTCCAAAGTAAATTGGCATGAGATTTCAAATGAAATATAGATTATTATTATTATAATCAAGGGGGAAGCACTAAACCCATAGGATTATACAGCATCTGTGGGGGGGATGTGGAAGGTATTCAGGCTTAATTCGGGGGAACTGGAGCACAGATCCAATTCCCTATCTCAAGAGCCCGTCACCAGCATCAAGGAACCTTCCTTGGGGGGATGAAATACATGTATAGATGATCAACCAAATTCCCTTAGTTTAATTAATTCAACTTTGTACCAACATGGTGAAAGAAAATAGGATTTAATATAAGTATGAAGTATTCAATGTAATTATCAGAATGTGTAGACGTAACAGGGATGACGCCCACAACTACTGGGAATTTAACGCACAGATTTTTTATGTACTACTGTAATCCATACAGTGCTGTATGACCCTTGTGGGTTTAGAGCTTAGTTTTTGTTGTAATCCATTAGCTGTATAACCCCTATGGGTTTAGCACTTGCCACTGATTAAAAGTATAAAATAAATTATGCATACCATAATATACATAAATATTTTTAAGGGATTTACTTAAAAACTAATTTATATTAGGGTAAGGCATTTAGAGAAACAGTTACTATTTACTAATCATTGAATGGTCTGTAACTGTAAATGATTATCTTTGTGCTTCATTTGTATCTGTATAAAATACCCTACAATAAAATGTAACTTTTTTTTTTCCCAACAAACTGGCCATATCCCACCAAAGCAGAGTGACCCAAAAAGAAGAACAGAGGTCTTTCTTTTTACATTTAGTAAATGTTAACTTGTTATAGACAACAAAATATTACAGAAACACTTTAAACCACAAATGGGTGGGGTTAGAACCCATGGCAAGCGAGTCATAAAACTAATTCTGTGGTTTGTTTGTAATTGTGTCGAGATATCGCGAGACAGAAACATTTTGATATAACAGAATGATTCCTTGTGTTTAACAATGAAATGCTTTATACAGATGAATTTGATTTTAGCATATTGTATAGTATTAAAAATATAAAGTATATTAATATTCACCTTTGTAGATTTTTTGACAAAGCAATCAGCCCCTGAATTTTTTAAAAGCTTACCATTTCCTTAGAGATCCAGCTCCTGGAGAATTATTTTACTTTTCCACGTAATCTCCAAACAAGCGACGCAATTTCCGTGGCAACACCCTGAAAGACATGTAGATCTACTTTCAGTTTACTGTATGTATACACATGTACATAAAATAACTTCTGCCCTTTGATTTGAAATCTGTCTTTCAGAGTGAAGTAGAAGAAAGGCATTCATGATAATTAGTATCATTAAGTCTCAATGCATATTACTATATCTCAGCTAAGTCAGATCCATCATTCAGGAGTATTAAAAAACAAATGGACAGGAAGAAAAAACAAAAATGGAGGCAAGAAAAGAATTAGCAAGACATACAGCAACTGACTTTTTTTTTTTTTTTACCATCACTGAACAAATAGTAATGCATCTACTCACACCTTTGATCAACTGTGTAATTATTTTACAGCTTATGTTGGATTTTGTTTTAAACTGTTGCATGTGGCAAAAATTAAATGTACACATTATGTTACACTGCATTAATAAAAAATTCATAAAATGAAAATGACTCACTTTGAAAAAACCATAAGGGGCTTCAGTTTTTCAGGCAGAAAGATTTCTTCTTGACCTCTCCTGACACCTCTGATGATCCTTGATGCTGCATCAGATGGTTCCAAGATTTCAAACAGCCATGGGTACCTATATATATATAGATATATAATTTAAACTATACTGTACATTGGTGAATTCCTGAAAAGGAGAAGGATATACAGTAATCCGAAGTTAAAGTAATGTATAGTATATTATCTGCATGTTATTGTAGCTCACAAGTAATGTGTGAAACAAGGGCAATCACAATTTAACTAATAAGCATTCTTAATGAAGAAATACAAAATATCAGTCATATTGTATGAGAATATCAACTACAATCTCATTCATTTCTTACTTGAGGTTAGGGGTAACATCTTCAATATTAGATATGAGGAATGGGTGAACAGCTGTAATTTTCACACCAGACCTCCTCTCCATCCTCATTTCTTCTGCTAGAGCCTCTGTCATTCCTACAGTGATATGTACACTTTAGCTGGAAGTTCATTTCACAGCACATAGTTCACATTGTTATACCCACATGACATTCGCATGAATATCTTTCAGCATTCCAAAATACATGTAGTATTAGTCCAGTAAGAATATTGGGAGGATATGCCTAGTAGGTTATTATGTAAACTAGAATCATGCAGGTAATGGCTAATAGAAAAAAAAAAGGTTTCTACATCTCTGGAAAACTGAGTTAGTTATTTTAATAAAAAACAGCTAAAATGAGTAAATAATATTGATGTAATGTGTAACAAGGACTAACTCAATACCAACATTTGTGTGTGAGGTATGAGCTTCAAACATTACAGTGAGGAGTAGGCTGGAGGCAACAGAGATTTTATGTTTGAGAACAATGTGTTAGAAAATAGTGTGGGGGTTACCAAAGGTATGCTTCAGAGGAATGAAAAGGGGTTGTTGAAACAGTTTGGGCAGTGAGAAAGAATGGAGCATAATATGATGACCAAGAATGTGTGTAAATCTAGGGTGAAAGAAAGGAGAGACAGGAGTCATCCCAGAAAAGGTTGGAAGGAGGAGGTTAAAGGTTTTAAGCTAGGGGCTTGACTATCCAATAGACTTGCATGAGCATGTTAAGATCAAGTGGCTTTTATGACTTGATGTGCTGTCAGAGTGTGAGCAAGGTACTGTAATATTTATGAAGGAATTCAGGAAACCTATTGGACAGATTTGAGTCCTAGAGGTGGAAAGTACAGTGCCTGCACTCTGAATGAGGGTCATTTGAACTGTGACATCTGCACACTTCTGGCAAAACAGCTGTTGCATGAATGATGATGAATGTGTTTCCTTGTTTAGGGTTGCCTCACCGTGGCGGGAGATCAGCTAGAGTGTTTAAAAAAATGTAACAGGAAAAACTGCAAGGAATTATGTTACGAGCATTTTGCATATGATAAAATCAAATTTATTTGTTTTTATCTGATTTGAAAAACCTTAAATTAAAACCAAACATTCAAATACCTTTAACTCCAAACTTTGATGAGCAGTATGGTACAACATTATTTCGACCAATGAATCCCAACACAGAGGAAATGCAGATGATGTGGCCACGGTTGTGTTGTATCATGTGACCTAGAAATTCTCTAGAAATCTGGCAGATAAAATACAGTTTAACAATTACATAAGAGAAAGCTATTTGCACTACTATTAATTTTTTTTTTTTTCAACAAGTCGGCCGTCTCCCACCGAGGCAGGGTGACCCAAAAAAGAAAGAAAATCCCCAAAAAGAAAATACTTTCATCATCATTCAACACTTTCACCACACACACATTTTCACTGTTTTTGCAGAGGTGCTCAGAATACAACAGTTTAGAAGCATATACGTATAAAGATGCACAACATATCCCTCCAAACTGCCAATATCCCAAACCCCTCCTTTAAAGTGCAGGCATTGTACTTCCCATTTCCAGGACTCAAGTCCGACTATATGAAAATAACTGGTTTCCCTGAATCCCTTCACTAAATATTACCCTGCTCACACTCCAACAGATCGTCAGGTCCCAAGTATCATTCGTCTCCATTCACTCCTATCTAACACGCTCATGCACGCTTGCTGGAAGTCCAAGCCCCTCGCCCACAAAACCTCCTTTACCCCCTCTTTCCCTTTCAAGGACGACCCCTACCCCTCCTTCCTTCCCCTATAGATTTATATGCTTTCCATGTCATTCTACTTTGATCCATTCTCTCTAAATGACCAAACCACCTCAACAACCCCTCTTCTGCCCTCTGACTAATGCTTTTATTAACTCCACGCCTTCTCCTAATTTCCACACTCCGAATTTTCTGCATAATATTTACACCACACATTGCCCTTAGACAGGACATCTCCACTGCCTCCAACCGTCTCCTCACTGCTGCATTTACCACCCAAGCTTCACATCCATATAAGAGTGTTGGTACTACTATACTTTCATACATTCCCTTCTTTGCGTCCATAGATAATGTTTTTTGACTCCACATATACCTCAACGCACCACTCACCTTTTTTCCCTCATCAATTCTATGATTAACCTCATCCTTCATAAATCCATCCGCCGACACGTCAACTCCCAAGTATCTGAAAACATTCACTTCTTCCATACTCCTCCTCCCCAATTTGATATCCAATTTTTCTTTATCTAAATCATTTGATACCCTCATCACCTTACTCTTCTATGTTCACTTTCAACTTTCTACCTTTACACACATTCTCAAACTCATCCACTAACCTTTGCAATTTTTCTTTAGAATCTCCCATAAGCACAGTATCATCAGCAAAAAGTAACTGTGTCAATTCCCATTTTGAATTTGATTCCCCATAATTTCACCCCACCCCTCTCCCGAACACCCTAGCATTTACTTCTTTTACAACCCCATCTATAAATATATTAAACAACCATGGTGACATTACACATCTTTGTCTAAGACCTACTTTTACCGGGAAGTATTTTCCCTCTCTTCTACACACCCTAACCTGAGCCTCACTATCCTCATAAAAACTCTTAACAGCATTTAGTAACTTACCACCTATTCCATATACTTGCAACATCTGCCACATTGCTCCTCTATCCACTCTATCATATGCCTTTTCTAAATCCATAAATGCAATAAAAACTTCCCTACCTTTATCTAAATACTGTTCACATATATGCTTCAATGTAAACACTTGATCTACACATCCCCTACCCACTCTGAAGCCTCCCTGCTCATCCGCAATCCTACATTCTGTCTTACCTCTAATTCTTTCAATTATAACCCTACCGTATACTTTTCCTGGTATACTCAGTAAACTTATTCCTCTATAATTTTTACAATCTCTTTTGTCCCCTTTCCCTTTATATAAAGGGACTATACATGCTCTCTGCCAATCCCTAGGTACCTTCCCCTCTTTCATACATTTATTAAACAAAAGTACCAACCACTCCAACACTATATCCCCCCCTGCTTTTAACATTTCTGTCATGATCCCATCAGTTCCAGCTGCTTTACCCCCTTTCATTCTACGTAATGCCTCACGTACTTTTAAATACAAGTTTTAAATTAAAAGGGTTTACTATACAAGTTTGATACACATACTTTGCTTCTTTTTTATTATAATAATAATAATACTCTCTATCAGTCCCTCCTTCATTAGCAATACATGTTGGTACAGTTATCATACTTTCAATAAGAACAAATACTATGTAGAAAAGAGAGGGAGCAAGTGCAAGGGATATGACAATTTATTAATAATGCAATCTACTTTTACTTTTATTTGTATATTTAGTGATTATAATTACTAGTATATACATTTAGCATTGTGTGTGTTGCCCAGTGCTGGAACAATGAAGTTTCTCTCATTTTTTTTTCCCATGATGCAACCTTATTGCAGTAAGAAATTGTCATGCTGTTGATACTAAAGAGGTACTGAAGTACAAATTGTATTGATAGAGACCCAGTCATAAAATGTCTGCTGAAAATATAATGAGTTTGCTCTACAAGTACAAAACAAAGTTGCTGGGGTCAGTATGTCCTAACAAGAAAAATCTGAAAATCCCATGCAAAAAGTGCGGATTAATAAAGTAAACGTAAAAAATAAAATGATTTGAAAGTTGAGTTACTTAAAAGTACAATGGACCCCCGCTTAACGATCACCTCCCAATGCAACCAATTATGTAAGTGTATTTATGTAAGTGCGTTTGTACGTGTATGTTTGGGGGTCTGAAATGGACTAATCTACTTCACAATATTCCTTATGGGAACAAATTCGGTCAGTACTGGCACCTGAACATACTTCTGGAATGAAAAAATATCGTTAACCGGGGGTCCACTGTGTAGTGATTTTCTTGATGAAAACTATACTGCATATTTAAGTAAAGGTTTTACTTACCCAGAGATTTCCAAGAAGATTAACATTAACAATCATTTGAATCTCTTCAGGAGTGTGAGAAAGAAAGGGCTTGTATTTATAAACTCCAGCATTATTGAACACATATCCTGGATGACCAATTTCCTTCCTCACCTGTGCAAAATAATCAGTAGATACACTCATTTGATAACTAATATTTATTAACTAATAAAAGTACAGTAAACCCTCAATTTAACAAATACACTACTGTATAGCCCTTGTGGCTTAGCGCTTCTTTTTGATGGGTAGGCTCCAGGATGTACATGTTTATAGAGGGGCAACTGATATATCGGATCATTATTTAGTTGTAGCTACAGTTAGAGTAAGAGGTAGATGGGAAAAGAGGAAGGTGGCAACAACAAGTAAGAGGGAGGTGAAAGTGTATAAACTGAGGAGGAAGTTCGGGTGAGATATAAGCGACTATTGGCAGAAAGGTGGGCTAGTGCAGAGATGAGTAGTGGGGGGGTTGAAGAGGGTTGGAATAGTTTTAAAAATGCAGTATTAGAATGTGGGGCAGAAGTTTGTGGTTATAGGAGGGTGGGGGCAGGAGGAAAGAGGAGTGATTGGTGGAATGATGAAGTAAAGGGTGTGATAAAAGAAAAAGGTAGCTTATGAGAGGTTTTTACAAAGCAGAAGTGTTATAAGAAGAGCAGAGTATATGGAGAGTAAAAGAAAGGTGAAGAGAGTGGTGAGAGAGTGCAAAAGGAGAGCAGATGATAAAGTGGGAGAGCCACTGTCAAGAAATTTTAATGAGAATAAGAAAAAATTTTGGAGTTAAACAAGCTAAGAAAGCCTAGAGAAAGTATGGATTTGTCAGTTAAAAACAGAGTAGAGGAGTTAGTAGATGGGGAGAGGGAGGTATTAGGTAGATGGCGAGAATATTTTGAGGAACTTTTAAATGTTGAGGAAGAAAGGGAGGTGGTAATTTCATGCACTGGCCAGGGAGGTATACCATCTTTTAGGAGTGAAGAAGAGCAGAATGTAAGTGTGGGGGAGGTATGTGAGGCATTACACAGAATGAAAGGGGGTAAAGCAGCTGGAACTGATGGGATCATGACAGAAATGTTAAAAGCAGGGGGGGATATAGTGTTGGAGTGGTTGGTACTTTTGTTTAAAAACTGTATGAAAGAGGGGAAGGTACCTAGGGATTGGCAGAGAGCATGTATAGTCCCTTTACATAAAGGGAAAGGGGACAAAAGAGATTGTAAAAATTATAGAGGAATAAGTTTACTGAGTATACCAGGAAAAGTGTATGGTAGGGTTATAACTGAAAGAATTAGAGGTAAGACAGAATGTAGGATTGCGGATGAGCAAGGAGGTTTCAAAGTGGGTAGGGGATGTGTAGATCAAGTATTTACATTGAAGCATATATGTGAACAGTATTTAGATAAATGTAGGGAGGTTTTTGTTGCATTTATGGATTTAGAAAAGGCATATGATAGAGTGGATAGAGGAGCAATGTGGCAGATGTTGCAAGTATATGGAATAGGTGGTAAGTTACTAAATGCTGTAAAGAGTTTTTATGAGGATAGTGAGGCTCAGGTTAGGGTGTGTAGAAGAGAGGGAGAATACTTCCCGGTAAAAGTAGGTCTTAGATAGGGATGTGTAATGTCACCATGGTTGTTTAATATATTTAAAGATGGGGTTGTAAAAGAAGTAAATGCTAGAGTGTTCAGGAGATGGGTGGGATTAAATTATGGGGAATCAAATTCAAAATGGGAATTGACACAGTTACTTTTTGTTGATGATACTGTGCTTATGGGAGATTCTAAAGAAAAATTGCAAAGGTTGGTGGATGAGTTTGGGAATGTGTGTAAAGGTAGAAAGTTGAAAGTGAACATAGAAAAGAGTAAGATGATGAGGGTATCAAATGATTTAGATAAAAATTGTCTATCAAACTGGGGAGGAGGAGTATGGAAGAAGTGAATGTTTTCAGATACTTGGGAGTTGACGTGTCGGCGGATGGATTTATGAAGGATGAGCTTAATCATAGAATTGATGAGGGAAAAAAGTGAGTGGTGCAATGAGGTATATGTGGAGTCAAAAAGCGTTATCTATGGAGGCAAAGAAGGGAATGTATGAAAGTATAGTAGTACCAACACTCTTATATGGATGTGAAGCTTGGGTGGTAAATGCAGCAGTGAGGAGATGGTTGGAGGCAGTGGAGATGTCCTGTCTAAGGGCAATGTATGTTGTAAATATTATGCAGAAAATTCGGAGTGTGGAAATTAGGAAAAGGTGTGGAGTTAATAAAAGCATTAGTCAGAGGGCAGAAGAGGGGTTGTTGAGGTGGTTTGGTCATTTAGAGAGAATGGATCAAAGTAGAATGACATGGAAAGCATATAAATCTATAGATGAAGGAAGGCGGGGTAAGGGTCGTCCTCGAAAGGGTTGGAGAGAGGGGTAAAGGAGGCTTTGTGGGCGAGGGGCTTGGACTTCCAGCAAGCGTGCGTGAGCGTGTTAGATAGGAGTGAATGGAGACGAATGGTACTTGGGACCTGACGATCTGTTGGAGTGTGAGCAGGGTAATATTTAGTGAAGGGATTCAGGGAAACCGGTTATTTTTATATAGTCGGACTTGAGTCCTGGAAATGGGAAGTACAATGCCTGCACTTTAAAGGAGGGGTTTGGGATATTGGCAGCTTGGAGGGATATGTTGTGTATCTTTATACGTATATGCTTCTAAACTGTTGTATTCTGAGCACCTCTGCAAAAACAGTGATAATGTGTGATTGTGGTGAAAGTGTTGAATGATGATGAAAGTATTTTCTTTTTGGGGATTTTCTTTCTTTTTTGGGTCACCCTGCCTTGGTGGGAGACGGCCAACTTGTTGAAAAAAAAAAAAATTAAATACAAAATGGGAAGTGACAGAGTTACTTTTTGCTGATGATACTGTGCTTGTGGGAGATTCTAAAGAAAAATTGCAAAGGTTAGTGGACGAATTTAGGGATGTGTGTAAAGGTAGAAAGTTGAAAGTGAACATAGAAAAGAGTAAGGTGATGAGTGTATCAAATGATTTGGATAAAGAAAAATTGGATATCAAATTGGGGAGGAGGAGTATGGAAGAAGTGAATGTTTTCAGATATTTGGGAGGTGACATGTCAGTTGATGGATTTATGAAGGATGAGGTTAATCATAGAATTGATGAAGGAAAAAAGGCGAGTGGTGCATTGAGGTATATGTGGAGGCAAAAAATGTTATCTATGGAGGCAAAGAAGGAAATGTATGACAGTATAGTAGTACCAACACTCTTATATGGGTGTAAAGATTCTGTTGTAAATGCTGCAACGAGGAGGCGGTTGGAGGCAGTGATGTCCTGTCTAAGGGCAATGTGTGGTGTAAATATTATGCAGAAAATTCGGAGTGTGGAAATTAGGAGAAGGTGTGGATTTAATAAAAGTATTAGTCAGAGAGTTGAAGAGGGTTTGTTGAGGTGGTTTGGTCATTTAGAGAGAATGGATCAAAGTAGAATGACATGGAGGGCGTATAAATCTGTAGGGTAAGGAAGGCGGGGTAGGGGTTGTCCTCAAAAAGGTTGGAGGGAGGGGGTAAAGGAGGTGTTGTGGGCGAGGGGTTTGGACTTCCAGCAAGCATGCATGAGCGTGTTAGATATAGGAGTGAATGGAGACAAATGGTATTTGGGACCTGACAAGCTGTTGGAGTGTGAGCAGGGTAATATTTAGTGAAGGGATTCAGGGAAACCGGTTATTTTATATAACCCGACTTGAGTCCTGGAAATGGGAAGTACAATGTCTGCACTCTAAAGGAGGGGTTTGAGATATTGGCAGTTTGGAGGGATATACTGTGTATTTTTATACGTATATACTTCTAAACTGTTGTATTCTGAGCACCTCTGCAAAAACAGTGATTATGTGTGAGTGAGGTGAAAGTGATGAATGATGATGAAAGTGTTTTCTTTTTAGGGATTTTCTTTCTTTTTGGGTCACCCTGCCTCGGTGGGAGATGGCCGAGTTGTTGAAAAAAAAAAATACTGTATATACACAGTACAGTATATATAAAAGACATTTATCTAGGTAGTAGGTTGGTAGACAGCAATCAACCAATATTGCAAACTAGTAATACCACAGGAAATAGCAAACAAGAGGACTCCACTAGCAATAGTGAGGATATATTACCAAAAACAACTGGTGAGAGCTCCATTGTTGGTGCTAGTGAGGATAGGAATAAGACAGGTAAACATGCACCAACAGGGAATACAGTCACAGAAACCCAAGGCAAACAGAAACCAAGCCTGTGCACATACTATGCACCTGGTATCTGCAGGCATGGGAAATCTGGAAAAACAGATGGGACGTGCAACTATGACCACCCTAGAAAATGCTGTGCCCATATGACAACAGGAAAATGCAAACTCCCTTCCTGTAACCTTTTTCACCCTGAAATGTGTACCTCTTCAGTACAGGAAAGACTGTGCTATAACTTAAATTGCCAGGCACACCATCTAAAGGGGACAAAAAGATACAAAACATCCAGGCCATGGGAAAACCTGGTTAGCCACAACCACTCAAGAGGGAGAGGTTTTTTAGTGCCAGGAAGGAAAAAAAACTGGCAGGAAATGGCAGAAATCGTACACCAAATCCAGTCATTCCTGGAGTGGAACCACAGTCGATGGCCTCCACTCCAAACCAACAGATACAGATACTAATGCCGGAAAAAAAATCCCCCCCAGTACCAACAATACCACCAGTCCGATGAAATTCTTCTTTGCAAATATACAGGGTCTAAAGCCAGCAACAAACAACAAAATACCTTTCATCTGTGGACTGCTTGCAGAGGCAAATGCAATGTTCGTGGCTTTCACTGAGACCCACATAAAGGATCACTTGGACAACGAAATATGGATCCCAGGTTACAATCTATATAGATGCGACAGAGTGAACAGGCAAAAGGGGGGGGGTTGGCCTGTACATAGCAGAGTCACTTGTTTGCACAGAACTGCTTAATGCCTCAATTGATGTAGTCGAAGTTTTAGCAGTAAAGATCGAGAACCAAAACCTAGTCATTGTGGTAGTCTACAAGCCTCCGGATGCAACATCCCAGAAATTCCAGGAACAGCTGTTCAAAATTGACCAGTCTGGAAAATCTGCCAGCGC